TTTCCCCCAGCTTGGAATAAAGAAAAAGAAAAAGAAAAACACACAAAAAGCTTGTGCCCGTTATGTAGACAAACGCAATCAAGCATGCAGGGAGGGTGGGAATGAAGAAGCATGGGAATTAGCCGTGCTTCTAAAGTAAGATGAACTGATAGGAAACAGCGCATACTGTTCTTGTTTCTGAAAACACTGTTAGATGCATGCAGAGCGAGTCCCTCTACCCTCCATCCTCTCTCTTGTTAGCGCTGTGTTCGTATTAATTGATATACACGAGGGTACTGTATATGCTAATGCAAATTCACTGTAGCAGAATGAACTGATTCAAGGAGGCTAGGACAAGCACGGACAAAGAGATTGGGACCTATCTGGCTTCAGTAGTTGACCCTAACCTTTGACCTCTCTTTTGTTAAATCTCAAACCCCATGAATAAGTCATTTACTGTTTTAAAAGTGTCAGTGTTTCTGCTTTTCTGTGTGGATGACAGTTACTCCGGCTGATTATCATTTTCCCATTACGAGCAGCAGATGTTTTGTCAGCGAAAACACTCGTCTCCTTATCTTCTCACCAGTGTATCGTGATTTGCTGGTGTATAATGATGTACACGAGCCTAGGGGAGCGTTTATGTGCCCCAGGCTTGCAGTCAAGTCACCTTTCCTTGCATACATGTGCATGAGTATGTGTGCAGCGTAATAATGATCCCGTGCCCTAGACACCAAAGACCTCCATTACTCAGAGGAAATCTGTTGTGTCTCTCGGGATCCTTTATCACAAAGGTTATCAGTGCATTTTTAAAAGCTGTTTGTTTGGATCCTGGCGTTTGATGTTTGCATACCTTTTTCTCCTGAGTAATTACATTTTTTCCCCTTTTCTCTCCCGATACTTTGCCCTTCACCCTCAACCACTCACTGATTATTCTCTGCCACTGCTCTCTTTTATGATATGTCTTTCCTCATTAATCTCCTCTCTCATTACTCCTCCGCTCTCTTTTTTCTTTTTCTTCCTCTCCTCACCTCCAGATGAGGGCCAGACAGTTTGCCACAACCCTCCGGAGCTGGCTGGCCAGCGGTTGGCGGAGGTCGGCATGCAGTTGCGGGCAGATTGCCACCAAGGCCTGGGCTACTGGGACTACCTCTTCTTCATCGCCATCGGCTTTGTCATCTTCTCGGCCGGCACGGTGTCGGCTTGGGTGATGGGCGTGCTCATGGTGCTGTACGAACGCTACAGCAAGCGAAAGAGCGAGGAACTGGACAGCGATGACGAGGACGAAAGGGGAGGGATGGGTGGAGGTGGGGGAGGTGGAGGTGGGAACCAGGGGAATGGCGATCTGAGCAAGCCTGGCATGCAAGTGTGACAGACTGATGTGAAACAACATTGGAAGAGGAAGAAAGAAAAGACAGAGAGGAGCAACTTGAAGTGATGAGAGGAGTCTGAGACCAAAGGCTCTGCTATGAACTAAGATCTGCCTGTCTCTCTTTGTTACAGATTTAGATATTGCAATATGCTCCTTAACATATAAGAAAGTGAGTGTGTATGCGTACGTGTTTGCGCGCGCGTGTGTGTGAGTGTGTGTCTGCGAGAGAGAAAGAGAGACAGACAGAGACAGCAATAAGGATGACTATGCCTTCACTTCAGGAGAAACAGAATGACCTCTGAGATTATTGAGAGCAATAACCCCCCCACCACCACACACACACACACACACACACACACAAACACACACAAACATACACACACACTTTGCACAGATAGTCTACGGAGCTGCTGGTTTCTCTGAGTGGGTGGATGTACCTTTATACTATATGTAAAGTACTCTTCAGTAACACCCAGTAAAACAAGACACGTGAGTGACGCATTCAAACACACACACAGTATAATCATACAAAATACATAAGAAGGTACTGGGAGTCACAACGAGAGCTTTGCCTTATCTCCAAAGTTAAAGGGGGATCTAGTTTCGTATTTAAATGTGATTTTCCTGAAAGCCTTAAGGCAACTCACTTGAAATATTCTACAGTCACCGCTGTTTCCTATAGACAGAATCTGTCCACAGAGAACAAACACACATTTTGGGTCATAACAGATCGAACAATGTCAGACACTGTCAAAATAATGTGAATGTACAAAACAAGAACAAAGAGGTGGTCCAACTAAGCTTGCCGTGTTACTCTTAACATTGAAAGGCACCCTGTGGAGCTGTCTGAGTGGTAAATGGTGCTATGGAGCAACATTTTCTTTGGGGCGTTTGTCAGTTTTGCTGTACTGACTGACACATAACGTTTTAAGCAAAATTAGAAGGTTTCTAGTTATCAATGCATGCCGATGTCTTAAGTCGGCAAGTATTTATATAAGTATTTATATAAGCCTAGAGGATAGATGCAGATGAATTTATTTGAATGTAAAAGAAAAAATAACTCCCTTTGTTGACAAGAAAACTGCACAGGGTGCCTTTACAAAGCAACTTAACACCAGCTGAAAATCAGACTTTGTGGTTACTATATCCAGACAGTAATGCAAATTTGTAGCACAATTTTTTCCTGAATTCCTGACCAGAGACCTTTTGGAGTGTTAGGACCAAAAATGTCTGCAAGAATCTGAAACACTCTGACATCTTGAGAATGAGTTTCCACAACATGTCCTTGATGTTGACCTAAAGGAAAGCAAAGCAAAGACAGATTAAAAGATGTTAAAGTGAAATCACACAAGCTGTAAAAGACAGAACAGTTTTGACCCTTTTAAAAAATACTACTCAAACATTCTGGGAAATGTGCTAAATTAATGGTGTTAATTTCACCTATTTATTTAAAGGTAGCTACAGTTTCCCCAGTATTTCACAAAAATCTGATGTTGTCATTTCCTGCTGTTTCTTACTAGAGCGGATGGTTCACTCGACATTTAAAGACGTGCTTTTACGTGCCGTTGCCCCAGCGTCTCCAACTCAGATAGGGGCCGTGCAGAACAGTGACTGAGGTGCTTTTCAGCCTGATGTTAAGTTGCTCCCAAAGCTCGTTTCTCTGTATTAACAGATAGGAGAAGTCTACCTATAGTGACACTAAGTGACTGTCAAATCTCATGTTTACTATGTGTATGTCTGACTTCATGTTTCTGTGTGCACAGTACATGGTTTGCCACACCGTGAGTCGCGCTGCAGTAGTTGCTTGCCGTAGTCTCCATCTTGCTATTGTGCTTGTGGGAGAAGTTTGTCTTTCTCTTTGTGGCAGGATGCCTGTTGTGAAAGTCAGACAGTGTTTGTCAGGCTTTCACCCAGGAAGTCTGGAGTTTGAGCCAAGTATTCAATTATTATTTAATTATTATTTTAAACTTAAAGTCAAAGTTTAATTAGTTGCATTTGAGAAAAGATGCTTTTGGTGGTTAAACTACACATTGCCACAACATTAGCCACTTCTTAAGCTGTTTTCACACATGCACTGCAGCCCTCAGTTTAACCCTGTCACATCAATCACTATACGCTATCTTGTGTGTCTGTGTGATGTCCAATTGCACACGTGAGAAACGCGTAGGCAACTGCACGGTGAATTGACCGCGAGGAAGTTGATCTGCTGCTTCGTGCACGCTCTACCCTCATAGCACCTAAGGCTAATCTCCACAGAGTATTCCTCTGTAGTAAGAATTATTTCCTACATGTAAGAAAAGGCAGCTTTGGACAATGTCCCGACCTGATTCTGTGTGTGCACGTGTGAAAATGGCTTTTGAAAGCCCTGAAGCCAAACTTCTCCCGTGCTCTGTAGTTGTAGAAGTGGGGCGGGATCATGGTGGCTGCGCATGAAGACAGCACCAGGGTGATTGACTCAGTGGTACATCCACGGATGACTCTGCTTTATGTGGTTAGACATATCACTTAGTTGACCCCATATCACGTACGCAGATGGGCTGCAGCCTATAACCCGACTGTCAGAATAGAAGTGTGCCTCTGGAGCAGTAGTAGTAGTAATATTACTGTTTGTGTTCATGTATGCGTAACTGTATGCGTTTAAGTGGGGTAGAGCGATCATAGAGCATCTCTGTTAGCAGCGTGGATGAGTGATTCATGAGCACAGACAGGTCCAAACCGATTCCTCCTTCATCCTGCTCCGCTTCCACCCTGTCTGTCAGAGACTGGTTAGGCGGTTAGCGATAATAAAACTTTAGATAGAGGTGGGGTTGAGCAAGAGCGGGGGTCACCATCTGAAGCAGGAATTCATCCTGACTGATGTATTTAGCAGCTGTATTGAAAGACTGATTGATAGCCAGGCTTTTATTGATGTTGTGGGCTAAGTGGATCCAAATGCCCGGGATGAATGGGCACGGTTAAATGATGAATCTCCAGAGGGTTTGGCAGAATGTACGCGTGTGCGTCACTGTGTGAGTGTGTGAAAGAGTGCATGTTTATGTTTTTTTGTGGCTTGGTTTATGATCATAACAGTATATCCTAATGTGGGTGCAGATGAGCGACAACAGCTTTTTCATTTGTTTATTTCATTTTTTTTTACAATGAGAGGTTAACTTCCAATGAAAATTTGTCACATCTTCACAGACACGCTTCCTCCCTCACTCAATCACAGGAAGCTGCTCACCCTCCCATTTAAACACACACACACACACATAGATCTTCCTACATGCACAATAAATCTCAAGGGCATCACTAAAGTCAGAGCAGCAAGCCTGAGAACATTAACACTCCTGCTTTGGTCTCTCTTACCATGCATCACTACATCCTCTTATCCTTCCCCTTCATTCTCAATCCGACACTGTCATCAGCTCTCACATGACGCCAGCACACAAAGACACACGGATACACCTGGATCTATAATTTATCTGCTAAATCTTTAGGCTGTCAGTGCAGATTTTAAAAGGACCTGTGGAAGGCTGGTATCTAGGTTTCATTGCATTCATAAAAAGGCATGTGACCTACCATGGCATGACCTCGCAACCTATACCTAAACTTGCAGACAGCACTTTCCGTTTGGTGCGTACATCTGTTTTGCTGGGCTGATTGTCAGTTTTATGCTGCTGACAAATATAGAGCTGTTTAGCGGACAGAAAATGTGAGTCCTTTATCAGCACTAGGTCAGAGGAGAGGGGAGTCAGTCAGTGTGCCAAAAGGTGAGGCGCTATACTGGTGTGAAGTCGTCACAGGGCAGAGCACAGGACAGGGTAAAAATATCACTGATCTAAGAGGGCTTCTGTTTTGTGCACACATGTGAGCACCATCAGATTGTGTAATTAGCTGAGAGGCGAATGGAAGTTTAAAATGTTTGGTAGGAAGCTACTTTGGACTTATGAATCTCATCTTAAAGGCACTAATGCATCTAATGAATGAGCATGAGTTTGTGGAAAGGAGTTGGAAACAATTTAATATATTATTACTGATAAAATCGCTGCAGTGGACTCTGTTCTGGGTGTAGCTGATCAAAGCAAGCGAGGAAAGAGAGGAGGGGGCTTCTTTGTAACTTCTCCCCTTCTCTCGTCATGTTTTTACACATAATAATAATAATAATAATAATAAACTTTATTTATAAAGCACACTAAAAAACCAAGGGTATACCAAGGTGCTTGACAAAAAATAAAATAGGAAAAAGGAGATGGGAGGGAAAAGAGAAACGACCTGGCACGTATCAATTATAAAACCGTGACAATCATAATATATAAAAGTAGTTAACAAGCATAACGGATAAAAATGTACCAACGCACACCAAATGTTAACTAGGTGGAAAAGCAAGATTAAATAAATAAGTCTTCAGCCAGGATTTAAACAGTGGCATAGAGTCAGACACCGGGATAGGGCAGCTACAGCAAACGCACGGTCGCCGCGAGATATCAGCCGAGAACGAGGTTGCTCCAGAAGAAGTTGGGTAGCAGATCTAAGTGCTCTGACAGGAGTGTGTAACCTAAGAAGCTCATTGAGGTAGCTCGGCGCCAATTTATTAATAATGTTTGTAAGTGAAAAGTAGTATTTTAAATTGAATACGGTATTTAACTGGCAGCCAGTGCAAGCCAGCAAGAACAGGAGTGATGGAAGAAAACTTCCTGCTACCTGTCAAAAGGTGTGCCGCTGCATTCTGGACAGTCTGCAGAGAGTTGCAGTAGTCCAACCTGGAAGTCACGAATGCGTGAATAAGTTTTTCCAGGTCATTGTGCGGAATATAGCGCTTAGCCTTAGAAATGAGGCGCAGCTGATTAGAACTAGACCTCACAACGGCAGACACTTGCTTGTCAAATTTAAACGAGCTATCCAGTAATATGCCCAAATTACTGGCATAATCAGAAGGGGAGCTAGCGAAGGGCATCAGAGCAGCACACAATTGGTCGCGGGGGATTTTACTATCGAACACCACGATCTCCGTTTTCTTTTCGTTCAGGACAAGAGAATTACTCTTGAACCAATCTTTAACCTCACGCATGCATTCACGAAAATAGTGAAAAGACATAGCAAGATCGTCAGTAATCTCAAAATAAATATGTATATCATCAGCATAGCAATGAAAGGCAATATTATACTTCTCAAAAATTGCTCCAAGAGGGAGCAGATATAGTGAGAAGAGAATAGGTCCTAATACAGATCCTTGAGGCATACCACAGCGTACAGGTACCGAGGAAGATGAGAAGTTGCCCAAATTAACCGAGAAATACCTGTCAGCAAGATAAGATTTAAACCAGTTGAGGGCAGTGCCTCTTATACCCACAGTATGCTCAAGTCTTAGTAGAAGAATGTTATGATCGGACATATCAAAAGCAGAGGAAAGGTCCAATGAAACCAGAACCACAGAGCGTCCAGAGTCAGTGCTTACAAGAAGGTCATTGAGAACTCTAAGCAAGGCCGTTTCAGTGCTATGCCATGGCTTAAAGGCAGACTGAAATTTCTCTGCAATGTTGTTCACGTCTAAATACGCCTGACGCTGAGAAAGAACTAGTCGCTCCAGGATCTTGGACAGAAACGGAAGCTTAGAGATTGGTCTATAGTTCATAACAATCAAGATTCTTTTCTTTTTTTTTCAGAATAGGCTGGACTACAGCATGCTTAAAGGCCAGTGGGACAGATCCAGAGAGTAGAGAAAAATTCATTAAGAATAGAATGCTCGGTCCAATTACATCAAAGCTGCCCTTAACAATGCGTGATGGGAGAATATCAAACACAGCATTGGTGTTTTTCAGTTGATCAACCAGCTGCTTCAGAGTCGAAAGTAACACGGGCTCAAATTGATGAAAAGTTGAATTACACTCAGAGGAAAAGACGGGATAAGAAGCAGACGAAGAGGAAAGCTTAAGGGATGAAACCTTATCTAAAAAAAGAATTTGAAAACGCTCACAAAGAGCTTGTGAATACAGTAAAGGCATATCAGGACAGGGATTAACAACAGAATTAAAAATTTTAAATAGCATACGGGGCCATTAGCCAAAATGACTTTGGAAAGAAAAGATGCCTTAGCCATTCTAGCAGCAGTTTGAAACTGTGAGTGGCTAGTCCGTAACATGTCATAAGAAACCTGAAGTTTATCTTTTTTCCACCTCCTCTCATCACGGCGACAAACACGTCGTAAGGCACGTGTAGTATCATTTAGCCAGCAATGAGAGTAGGTTCTAGGGCGCTTCATTTTGATGGGAGCAACAGAATCAAGAATAGAAGAACAAAAAGATAACAGGATATTAGCACAACCATCAACCGAGCAGAAAGAACAGTCGTCAGGTACAGCCAAATCAGGGGTAGATGAAAATAATGATAAGAAAATATCAGCATAACCATCAGATGAGCAAACTGAGCAGCAGTCAGGAATCATAAATGCCAAATCTAAAAAAGACACAGCAAACTTTGGCACAGCTTCAGAGCTGAGTACGCGTAGTGGACAAGAAAGAGCACTAGACTGCGGTCCAGCGGCAGATAAGCGAATATCAAAGGAAATAGGAAAATGATCTGAAATCCCAGCGTTATATCCTTAATACAGATATCCAGGCCATACGTAAAGACCAAGTCCAAAATATGGTCTTTAACGTGGGTTGGTTAATTTACCCACTGAAGGAGGTTAAAAGAGCAAGAAAGTCTTTAGCAAGCAGGTCATCCTTACAACAGATGTGTATGTTAAAATCACCAGGAATAAGAACAGAATCATATTTAAAAAGAACGGAACCCAAGAAGTCAGCAAAGTCCGAGATAAAACACTTGTTATATTTGGGCGGTCGATAGACCAACACACACAAAGTGGTCGTGGAAGCAGTCATCTCCAATAACTGAACTTCAAAACTAGCAAAGTTAGGCGAGGAAAGTCGCCGAACATTACATAAGTTTTTAAAAACCGAGGCTAAACCTCCTCCCCTACCAGAAAGCCTCGGTGAACTAAAAAAGGCACAGTCCAAAGGAAGAAGTTCAGAGAAAGGAATGAGCTCACCAGGGCGAATCCAGGTTTCTGTAAGGAATAAAACATCAAGGCCGCTAGTAGAGAAGAGGTCATTGTAGCGTGTGAGGATGTATCTCTGTGTGTGGCTGGAAAATTCACAAATTACTGCCTGAGAAAGCAGCGTTGGTGTGCTGTTTAGAAGTCAGAGGTGCTGTGATGGCTTGCTGTTGAAGCTGCAGATTGCAGATGTCCTCGAAGGCGACAGCACAGTCCCCAGTGTACGTGTGTGTGTGTGTGTGTGTGTGCGGGGGGGTCTGATTTAGATTCTGACAGACCTGCTGATATACTGTGTATCATGTTTTTTAGTTCCTTTGCCATTTCTTTTAGATTTTTCTTTAGTTTTGTACATCATGGATCATAAGCAATAAAGAACTTAAGGATGAAGTCTGGATGAAAAGTAGTTTTCTAAGATTTTACTTGTTAATACTG